CACCTGGCGGGCCTGGGCATGCGCCCGTTTCTCGACAGCAAGAGCATGAAGCCCGGGGACCGGCTGTTTGACAAGATCGACGTGGCGATTAGGGAGTGCAAAGTTGGGGTGGCCGTCTTCTCTCCAATGTACTGCGACTCCTACTTCTGCCTTCACGAGCTGACCCAGATGATGGAGCTTGGAAAGCGGGTCGTGCCCGTTTTTTGTGACGTGAAGCCCTCGGACCTCCGGGTTAGGGAAGACGGGTGGTGCCCGCCAAAGGATCTCGATAGGTTTCGGTCCGCGCTAGAGGAGGCTAAGTTCACCGTCGGATTAACTTTCGACACACGTAATGGGTAAGTACATCGGCTTCGATTCGTTTGTTCACCTAATATTGGCATTTATACGAGATTACGCATGGATTAAATTTGTGTTGATGATACAGGGACTGGGTGGAGTTTCTTGCGAGTGCTACAGATGTGGTGATCAAGAACTTGATTGAAGTGGAGGAAGAACAAAGCAACTAGCTAGGATTAATAATTTATTCATTCATGGCTTCAAAATGACCATAATCAATTGTTAAGATTAAACAATCTTTCATTCTTTTTATTGTTTATAATTTTATTCTTGAGCTAGTCCTTGATTTTAATAAAGTTGATTCATAGGACTGGCCGCGCAGCCGCTAACACATTAGTTCATTATACTTTTATTGTGTTTCAAAGTGTAAGAGCATCATTAATTGGCTTTTGTAGTGGTCATCATAGAATTGTACAATAAGCTTGTGAAAATGTTTTGTTCATTTTATTCTTTTCTATTCAGAAGTTTGATTTCTCATGTACTGATATACAATTAAATTTTGAGCTAATAAAATGGTGAAAGTGTCAAATATTTTCATGTCATAGTCAATTTAATAATTTTCTATTTTATTTGAAAAATTAATCAAATTTTACTCCTACATTAAATTGTTAATTAATTAATTAAGTAATATATATTGTTGGCCAATTAAGAATGCCACATATATATTTTGAAGGCCAATTAAAGAATGTCACATGTCATTTTCTTGGAGAGTAAAATAAATAATTATTTCTTTAAATAAATTACTTAATGTTGTTATGTGGCAATTAACAACGATAATATAATGAAAAACACGTTGGGTATTCAAGAGAGAGAGATCGAGAATCTGATAATCGAAAAGGAAAGTTTATTAAATATTATTGTATATTTTTTCATGTCCCTCCCCTGGAGAGTCTATTTTTCCCTTATATATTAATTTACAACACTTATCAGCAATATAATCATTACATTAGAATAGTCAATGGTGGCTAATTGCCATTTATCTTGGTAGCGTGCCACTTGGCCAGGTGTAATGATGACTTGTGCTGAGTTGGCGCCGCCTTATGGTGTCGGTGTGGCAAGTCATAGATATCGGTTTGATTAGCCATAACCGATATGTCCTAACCGACATGTCGTACCCGACATGTCACAACCGATATGAGATGTCGGTTAGTTGATGAAGATGTTGGTTCTTGATCTATTTTCTCCCGATATGTGATTGCTTTGGGATCCTTGAAGATGTTCTCCTTTTGAATGAATATAATCTTCCACTTAATGAGCGTAAAAGCCTGATAAGTATCGCTAACTTGATTTACCAAAAACCATATCAACAAGGTGGCCCCCAGCATTAATGGATGTCTTGAGAAAAGACGGGCAGTGATGCTGAAAATTCACCAGGAAACAATTAATTTTGAGCGAGTGGAACATGTCGGTTTTTGCAGTCGTCCTTCCGATGTCTTCATACTTGTCAAAAATGGTGCTAAAAGCTGAAACGGCGCAATTTATTACAATTAATTGCAACGTTTGTTGATAGGGGCAATGGTTACTTTTGATAGGCCACGTAGCCACTGCTGAGAGGCGCGATTCTCAAAGGTCGTGTCGACTCGTGGATTAAGAACGTTGAACCCACGCGTCCCTATTTCTTCCTTCTTCCAACGGTCATTGCTAAATTTAGGGTTTAGTATAAATAGAAAATCTTCTGTCAAGATTTACTTTACCTTCATTTTCTATCTGCAATCGACTTTCTTATTTTCTTGCAAATTAATCGTCTCACAACTGTACTCAAAGCATCCCAGATCTGTGAACTTCTTCTTGTGGTAAGAACTATTTCTTTGCTTTATTCATCTTTTTTGGCATCTTCTCTTCGCATCATGAGTGTATCGTGGGCATCTTCCGGTGACGACGAGTTGGATGTCATGATGATTAACATGGTCCACTCCGGGGAATTGGAATTATTGTCGGAATACAATCGGTGGGATCCGGTGTTTGTCGAACGCTTAAATATTCGATTGAACGATACCAAGGGAGACCAAAGAGTTGAGGAGAACGCCATCGATGATCTAAGATTTTGGAGGCGGCCTATTAGAAAGTGGCCAGACCTCGAAATGACATCCCATGGTGAACCGAGCATACTAACAGACGCCGATGTCGTTATGTTGCGGAGTGAAATCCGAGTCCTCGCGTCGGTACACTTATTTGCGCCATATCCTGGAGAAAGAATTACATGTCCACCACCAGGATGCCTTGGTGTATTTGCTGAAAGTTTAAGGTCAGGATTACGATTTCCTTTGCCGCGTATAATCACCGAATACTTACGGAATTGGGAATTTTCGTTATGCCAAGTTGCTCCGAACTCATGGAAGCGAATTATCGGATTGCTTGTGCTTTTGGCTGAAAAGAAATGGGATTTACCGTCGGCAAGGGACATGAGAAGTATGTTACATTTCGGAAGAGTCCGGATAGACAAGTATAAGATCCGCTTCTTACTTTTTTGATTGTCGGCAAACCTCAGTCAAGGGTCAAAGTTGGCGAGTTGATAACAGAAATTCCTGACACATTACATGGATTTCAGGAAGAATGGTTGTGGGTCGGTGGAGACTGGCAATGCGCCGACTTCGCCAATGATCTTCTTGCCGATGGGATGAGTATCCCGATGGCTATTAAATCTGGTTATTGTAAGTTACTTATCTATTTCTTCACTTTAAGTATTAATGTCTTGTTTTTTGTTTTCGCTAACAGGTGGACTTTTATGACATTGTAGCCAAACCGGAAGGAAAGAAAGAACCCAAATTTGAAGGAGTGTTGTATAATCGGGTTGACAAGCTATTTGAACTGTCTGCGAACAAGCGAAGATATCAGCGGCTTGTGAAGGATTCTCGGTTGGAATTAGCTGGCTTATCTCCCGGGATGTTGGACTCGTCATTTCAGCCAAGTAAGTGTCTTACTTGGTGTTGTCAAACGAGAATTAACAACAATATAATCGATATAGATTTGTAATAAACTTAAGATAGAAAGATAAAGGCTTGTATGAGCGGCAAAAGGAGATAGAATTTTTCTGAATATTAGTGTACACGTCTTTTGACTGGCCTGGAGAACTGTTTTCTCCTTTTATATTTATTTATAACATTTATCTAATATGTAATCATTACACAAGAATAGTCAACGGCGGCTAATTGCCATTCATCTTAATAACGTGCCACTTGGCCAGGTGTAATGATGAGTTGTGCTGAGTTGGCACCGCCTTGTGGTGTCGGTCTAGCGAGTCATAGATATCGGTTCGGGCAGTCATAACCGATATGTCGTATCCGACATGTAGTAACCGACATGTCATAACCGACGTGAGATATCGGTCAATCGGCGACGATGTCGGTTCTTAACGAATTTTACCCGACAGGTGATTGCCTCGAAATTAGTGTCAGAGCCTCGAGATCCGTAAAGGCATCATCTACTTCATACGACTTTGATTATCCCTCTACTAAACATAATCAAGTGGTCAGCGTCGCTTAATTCGGTTTACTGAAAATGATGTCAACAAGGTGACCCCCAGCATTAATGGTTGTCTTGAAAGAGACGAGCAGTGATGATGAAAATTCCCTGATACTTATTTAATATTTAGCAAGGGAGACATGTCGGTTTTGTGAATTTTTTCCGATATCTTCATACTTGGCAGAAATAATACTGAGAGTTGAAAGGGCGCAATTTAATAGGATTAATTACAACGTTTGCTGATAGGGGTAACAGTCTTCTTATTAGGCCACGTAACCGTTGGTGATAGGTGTGATTCCCAAGAGTTGTGTCGACTCGCAAATTAAGGACGTCCGGTCCACGCGCCCCTATTTCTTTTGGTTTCCAACGGTCGCTACTAAATTTAGGGTTTAGTATAAATAGGAAATCTGTTCTTGAGATTCACTTTCACCTTTTTCTTGCAATCGATTCCTTTGTTTTCTTCGTGAATCAATCGTCTTTCAACCATACTCAAAGCATCCCAGATCTGCAAATTACTTTCTGTGGTAAGAACTCCTTTTCTTCGTATTTCGTTTATTTACTCCGACTTTTATTTATTTTTCTCGACATCATGAGTGTATCGTGGGCGTCTTCTGGTGACGACGAACTGGATGTGATGATGATTAACATGGTTCATTCTGGGGAATTGGAATTGTTGTCCGAGTATAACCGATGGGACCCGGTATTTGTCGAACGGTTGAAGATTCGGCTAAACGATAGCGAGGGGGACAAAGTCGTAGAGAAAAACGCCGTCGATGACTCAAGATTCTGGAGGCGACCCATTAGGAGATGGCCGGACCCCGAACTTACATCCCATGGTGAACCGAGTATCCTCACTGATGCCGACGTTGTTATGTTGCGGAGTGAAATCCGAGTCCCTACGTCGATACATTTGTTTGCTCCATACCCAGGTGAGAGGATTACATGTCCTCCACCTAACTGCGTCGGTGTGTTCGCCGAGAGCCTGAGATCAGGCTTACGATTCCCTTTGCCACGCATAATCACTGAATATTTGCGAGATTGGGAGTTCCCGATATGTCAGATCGCTCCAAATTCATGGAAGCGGATTATCGGACTACTGGTGCTCTTCGCCGAAAAGAATTGGGATTTACCGTCGGCGAAGGACATGAGAAGCATGTTCACATTCCGGAAGAGCCCAGATAGACAAGTGTCGGATCCACTTCACACTTTTTCTATTGTCGGTAAACCCCAACCAAGAGTCAAGGTTGGCGAGTTAATAATGGAGGTCCCCGACACATTACATGGCTTCCAAGAGGAATGGTTGTGGGTCGGTGGGGATTGGCAGTGCCCCGACTTCGCTAATGATCTTCTTGCTGATGGGACAAGCATCCCAATGGCTATTAAATCTGGTTATTGTAAGTTGTTCACCGTTTTCTTCATTTCGGTTATTAATATCTTGTTTTTTGTTGTCGCTAACAGGTGGACTTTTGTGACCTTGTAGCAAAACCAACGGGAAAGAGAGAACCCAAGTTCGAAGGCTTGCTATACGACCGGGTGGACAAGTTGTTCGAAGTTTCCCATAATAAGCGACAATACCAACGGCTTGTGAAAGATTCCCGATTAGAGCTAGCTGGTTTGTCTCCTGGGATACTTGACTCTTCATTTTTACCAGGTAATTTCTTCGCTTACCTCATGACATTGTTCGCATTGACGAAGTCGGTCTAACTTT